ATAGATACAGTTTATATCGCGCGAGCTATTCGTCATTCACGCGTCTAATTAAAGCATCACAATGCAATTCTCACAGTACTAACATAATTAGTGCTACCTCTATTATTATCATGCAATCTTAACATGAACATCTCAATAATATCTAGACGATACGCATTGTGAACCTCTTCTACAAATAGATATCTTCAAAATCATACAATCTAACCTACGAGTACCACTACTTTCGTACAGTCTTCCAATCACAATCCAAGCTATATTTGGGGCTGCACTACATCTTCATATTATGCTAATTTCGATAACTATGACTTAATTGTTCTTTACCGATACTTGCTAGCAATTAGTAAACAGCAACAACAACACTTGATAAAAATTACTTCTCAAAGGTTAAGCAATTTCTGAACAAATCATTACTACAATATTAGACGTGTAACTAGATAGTTCTATTTATTCTCCGATAATTGTCACTAAAATAAACTTCAATTTTCAATGTCACCTTCGATAGAAAATAAATTTTAAAATAATATACATGTACATGGACCTTCATGTCAATTCATATGCGAACAGTATGTTAGAGTAGATATAGTTCGATGAAATTATTTTGAAGAAATTACGGTAGTCGTTATTAAAATGCTCGAGTCAATAAACATAAAATAAACATACAGATATTTTGTTACTTGAAATCATAACTTTCAACAAAAATTGTTTTTAACACTGATGCTGCTGTAGATTCTACTGTAGAGCTTGGCCAACAAAGCGAGAAACCTGAAGATAAATCGATCAACCAGTCTAGAAATGAAGAACAAACGGCAATAGATGATTTCAATGGTTAGTTATAAGGAGGAAACTTTCCTTGCTAATATAATTAACGTTTATGTATAGAAGAATGATTCAAATTTATTGTATAGTCATTACTATTATAAAACAATCATTATAGCCAATAGAGTATGAGAATTAAATAATGATTAACGGAAACACAGTCTCTGAGTAATAAGTATCCTTAAAACAGCCACATTTAACCTTATGGTATTTTACATTGCACTGTAGAAAAGTGCTTTTCCACTATTGCGAATGAAATTGGAGATGAATGGATGCAGATAGCAAGAAATTTAAATATTTGTGATGACGATATTCAATATATAAGTATCCAACAACTAGATCATCATGTAAGTAATAGATCGGCTTTAGCTAATAAGATGCTACGTCTTTGGCATAAGAAAAATCCGTCACAAGATCATTTGATAGTATTAAGAGCAACTCTACGTCATCAAAAACAAAATAAAATCGTAGAGACTCTTAACGATTTGTTACTAGAAGCTCAATCTGATCCATTATTATCGAATTATGCTATGAAAATTTTGCAAGGTAATTTCGTTGCTTTAGTTAATTATAATTCGTGGATAAAAGTCTAAATTGTGGTATTTTGTATTGGCTCATTAATTGATAAATAGAAGGTAGCTTCAACGTCTCAAATATAGATAGAAGAAATGAAAGTTCTCTACCTTCAGAAGGTAAAGAAGTATTTATGCTTGTCTATCAACTGTTATTACTGATTATTATTCTCATTTTTATCTCAAGTATTGCGATGAAATTGTCGATCTCATTTATGCCTTCGTAATTGCACTAATTTTATATGTACCCTAGAATAACGCTACTTAAACTGTAAAAGCTTCAAATAACTACTTTATGTTGCTAAAAATTGATGATACGACAATCAATCTTGATGAATAATCCATTTCAGACTTACTTTGATAAATATCAAAATTTATATTTCTTATTGAATAGATTTATTCTTATTCATAAATAATTTTGCTATAAAGTCAAACTTTAATTTCATTTATAGAGTATATATATTTACCTGTTATAGAGATTGGCTACGTATTAATATACATTAACAGCTATCCTTAGATGAAGTAAATAATAAGTTTAATTCATGTTCATTTAGACATCAATAAAAAAGAATATCGAGATGAATATAATGAAGCTCTACAATATGGGGAATGTCGCAATGATTTCACTAAAATTGTCTTTAGCGGTCCAGAAAATGTGGGTAAAACGACCATTATGAACATCTTTACAAATCAGGAAGTCACTATTGGCATAACACAAACTCAGATCATGGATAACACTGGCAGATATATCAATTTTATTACATATAATATTTTAGACAAGAAAATTGATAATTTACGGTTAGTATTATATGGGAAAGTGTTAGCGGCGATAGAGAAATTCAAAAAGACGTTGAAATCTCCACCTGACGCAAGTCAAAATATCCAAGATAGGCACATAGATCGTCAATTACTGACGACGAATACAAATACATTGTCAAATACCGTCAAAACTAATAGTGCAATAAACGTAGATGATTCTACCGACACTGCTTTATCTACGGTATCTACAAAGACAAAGTTTC